ACTTTAATGGATATTATAATATGTGCATAATTAAATAGATGCACTGCACGTACGTGCAGTGAGCTATTGGGGCTAACTAGCAATATCTTTCCGTCTTCGATGTAGTCCGCTGGACGTTGAAGACTGATATTCACGAGGTTACGAGGTATCTCACTTGCTCACACTTCTGGCTCTGCAAGGGTGTGTGTGTGACCTGATGTTGCCATGGTAACGCGTGCGTTCTCTGTGAGGGTGAGCGGCGTGTGACGCAATGTTGCCATGGTAACGCGTGCGTTCTCTGTGAGGGTGAGCAGCCCCTCCTCATATGTTTACCCGCAGAAACAGACACGCACATCTGTGCGCATCCTATCTACTACAGTACTACTATACTACTACTACTACTGCTGCTGCTGCTATTGCTACCACACTGTCCGTTCGTGGGCTCTGTCGGTGGCGTGGTTTTTCCTGCGAGCCCCGTTCTTTTTTTCCGTTTATCGTTCGCTTTTCCCGCTCTATCGCTCTCCCTGGCTTTAGATTTCACACTCTCGGTTGCGCTCACGCTCTCTTTTTCCCCTTCTCTCTCTCTCCGTCGCTCTCTCTCTCTCTCTCTCTCTCTCTTTCTCACTCTTTCTCTGTCTATTTCCCCATCTTGCGCGTTTTCCTCTCCCTCCGCCTCGCTCCCTCTCTCACTCTCTGCCTCTCTTCTACGCTTTCGTACGTTATCGCTCACACACACACTTAACGCTTTCTCTTCCGCGGGCGCTATCTCTCCCCCTCTCTCGCTCGCTCTCTCCCTTTCTCTCCCCCGCCCCCTCTCTCTCTCGATACAGACTGCCGAAGGTCGCTGGCACCGGCTCCGTTTACTGATGCCTTTATTTGCTCTCATGCCTTTACTAGCGCTCATGCCTTTACTCGTGCTCATGTCCGCCTGCACTCACGCACGCCCGCACTCACGCACGCCCGCACTCACGCACGCCCGCACTCACGCACGCCCGCACTCACGCACGCCCGCACTCACGCACGCCCGCACGCACGTCCCCTCTTCCCCTGCAGTCACGCACGCCCCCTCTCATGTCCGCTCGTACTGAGTGGCGTTATATTTAACGCTACAGCACGCGCTATATATATCCGGCAATCGTAGTCACGCTCAGCATCAATGCAGCCTCCTCCAGAACCGCTGAAACATTCCCCCAGCTTCCCCCGTCCTCCTCCTCCTCCTCCTCCTCCTCTTCCTCCTCCTCCTCTCAGCGCTCAGCATCAATGCAGCTTCCTACAAAACCGCTAAAACCTTATAACGCGTGCGTTCTCTGTGAGGGTGAGCGGCGTGTGACGCAATGTTGCCATGGTAACGCGTGCGTTCTCTGTGAGGGTGAGCGGCGTGTGACGCGATGTTTCCATGGTAACGCGTGCGTTCTCTCTGCGCCGCAGTGCGACGAGCTTCAGCACGTCAATGAGGCGCTGAAGGTCAACATGAACGAACTGCAGACGGTGAAAAGCCGTCTCGCGTCCGAGAACAACGAGCTGAACGAACGCCTGCGCGACGCTCAGAGGAACGTCGACGTTCTGAACAACATCAAGATCGACCTGAGCCGTCAGCTGGAAGAGAGCAAGCGCAACCTGGACGAGGAACAACGGGTAGGTAACATAGGGGAACAACGGGTAGAGAACATAGGGGAAACAACGGTTAGGGAACATAGGGGAACAACGGGTAGAGAACATAGGGGAAACAACGGGTAGGGAACATAGGGGAACAACGGGTAGGGAACATAAGGGAAACAACGGGTAGAGAACATAGGGGGAACAACGGGTAGAGAACATAGAGAAAACAACGGGTAGAGAACATAAGGGGAACAACGGGTAGAGAACATAGAGGAACAACGGGCAGAGAACATAGGAGGAACAACGGGTAGGGAACATAGGGGAAACAACGGGTAGGGAGCATAGCAGCCGAGTGGAGGGAACAACATAGCGGTCGAGTAGCCGGAACAATACGGTGGGGGAACAACATTAACATTGAGATGGAGAACATACCATGAACCCTGTGAGTAAGAGGACATATTGTGTGGACGAAGAGCAACGGGTAGGGAACATAGCGACCGAGTGGGGGAACAACATCAACGTTCTCTTCTCTCTCTCTTCCTGCAGGCAAGGAAGCACGCCCAGGACCAACTGCGCAGCGTAGAGGCAGAGTTCGAGGTGTGCCGCTCCAGCCTGGAGCTGGAGATCGAGGTCCGCATTGAGATCGAACGTAAGTGCGTTCGCATCGAGCAAGAGTGTCTCTCCTACAAGGCCAAGTACGAATCGGAGTGCATCGCCCGTGCAGAAGAGATGGACGAGTACAGGTGAGACGCCAACGCCCTCTGCTGGCGATACAATTCATCATCGCGGCCATATTGTTTTTTGATAGATAGGTAGATAGAAAGATAGATAGATAAATAGATAGATAGATAGAGTATGATAATAGATAGATTAGATAGATAGATATAGATAGATAGATTAGATAGATAGATATATATGAAAA